CTTGTACACATTTTGTATGAATAAAACCACACTTTTCCTCAACTTGGTCTCCGTGCTGTTAAACGTGGCTGAGAGCCTTCGGTGTTTAGTGTGACTGACGAGCGATCTGACTAGTGTGCTTGGAAAGAGGTCCTAAAAAAGACCTTCCCCTTTTAAGCGCACTATCAATTGTTATCAACATCTTCGCTGGAGCGGACAGCTGAGCTTGCCCAGCAACTTTTTTCAATCCTTCTTCATTGCAAGTCAACTTTCTGGCTATTGGCGAAGAAAGGCGGTTGGAGTCAATGAGTCGTATCGTTACCTTATTTCATATCCTTTTTTCTCAACTTTTACCAGTTTTCCTATCGTCGGCGTTTGTAGTAGCTAAATTACTACTAGCTAGTTACTACGTTCTAGAATTTTGCGCTTCACATTTTCTGCCCCATTTTATGCGTTTTGTGGATCTTAAGCCATCCTGGTCTCTGCAGATATGATACGAACACGATAATTACATAGATATACCATAATCATAAAATGTACCGCTCTTCTTTTTCTTTTTTTCTAATTACTATGCATCGCTATGAGTCGACCTATCTGACACCAAAAATAATTTCAACAAAAAATGCAAGCAGTGCCCTTCCTAATTTATACCAACAACTGTGTCGACGACCTGGGTTGTAGCGCTATCATGTTTGCTGACGATGTCAAGCTCTGGAGACCCATCAGGTCTGGCGCCGATAGGCAAGCACTTCAAAAGAGCCTCAGCTGACTTGGTAGATGGTCTGCTCGTTGGCTTTTAAATTAAAACGTCAGGAAGTGTGTGGTTTTGAGGCTCCGTACTAGGAGGACCAATGAGGAGGACTATTCCTTCCAATACCTCCTCGATGGGCAATCCCTTTCAAATGTTGACGAAAAGCAGAACCTTGGTGTTCCAATAAACTCCCCGCTTAAACCATTTTTACAGTGTCTAAAGGCAGCTAAACGCGCGACACAGGTACTGTTTGCGATTAGACGGGATTCATTCACATCGACAAGGAACTCTTTACTAATACTTACGGAGTGTTTGTTCGGTCCTACTTGGAGTATGCCATCCAGGCCTGGCGTCCATGGCTCAAGAATTATTATCTGCCCCTAGAACGAATACAGATGAGAGCTACGAATATGATCACTAATCTTGGTCATCTGCCTTACGAAGACAACTTGACCGAACCTGATCTCAGGAGGTCAAGTTAGGCGAACGAACGTTTTCGATTAATTAATCATCAGGCAAATACAATAACATAAGGGAGGTTAGCAAAAGTTTAAGCAACCAAGGCAGCGATAGCAAGCATTCCCAGTCAACTAACGCCGTCACGAGACGATGACACCTTGCGCCTCCCAACAAAACGCGGGACAAGGACGACGGGATGACATAAATTAATTGTCAGACCTCTTCCTCCCTCCACACTTCCCTCTCTCTGGTCCCTAATTATAACTATAATCTGACCCATTTGATTCCTTAACACTTCTCACCCCTTTCCCCTGAGTAATACTGATTGGTTGCTTAAAATTTTGCCAACCCTATCCTACCTTATATATTTATTTACTGATTGCCGGTTTACAAGTAGTTGTTAAAATTGGGTTAATTGGTAAAG